CAGTATTATGCTTGCTAAATGCACAGCCCATGCTCTCTGCTCAACTTCTACGAGTTTCAGTTTCTTTCATATGAAGTGTCATTTTAAACACCTACTTCATGGAAGAGCTATGTGGACCAAAAGATTTAAAATATGTACAGTGATAAATGTTACATGGAGGATAATCAATACATATTTTGGGGAGTGTTGTTATTTTAATAAAAGTTGATTCTTTAAGTGTCATTTTTCCTAACATGAATTAATAAAGAAATGAAAGTAAATTTTTAAAAATACCATAAAATTCAGGGCTCAGGACACATATTAATGCTCAGAACACTTGTTAACTCCCTAGAGGTCTGAAAGGAAATGACTATAGCTCACAGAATAGAACTTCTGGTTGAGGACACAACCCTGCCTTCCCAGGGTTATAGGATTATATTTGTAAATAAATTACAAGCGCATTACAGGATCCAGAGTACTTTGTTTCCTAAAACACGGATTGGCACTTTGGGGCACCAAGTAGGATCAGAGTGACGCCTGGTGGTCCAATGCCTCTTTTACCACTGACACCATCTTCCACATTTCCTCTGCATTTATACTTTCCCTCTTCTCCTCTTTCCCCAGTACTTTTGGGGGACAGCTCCACACACATTTCTGCCTGGTTCCCGCATATGAGGAAGGTTGACTTGGTATTCTTCTAGGCTAAGTAGATAGACAAAAAATTAAATTAATTACAACGCCTAGGATGTTTCCGGCTAGCAGAAGAAGAGAAACTTTAGGGAATAATGCTGCCTAGGATGCTGATGTCTTAGATCATTATGTGCTACAGTATTCCCTCTGGAAGGCAGGAAGCACATTTTTTACAGTGTCCTATGGGAAAGATGGTATCAAAAGTGCACAGATAGGTGAGGCTAATGTGGAGAGTCCTCTCACAGGTAAGTGACAATTCCAGTGATCATCATGACCAAAGAATTCAACAGAATTTTAACTGATTACTATATCTGTTCTGAGTGTATTGGTTCAACATTCTCAGATGAAGGGGCAGAAAAAGTGAAAACAATTTTTAAAGGTTTTTACTATAAAAAATAAATAGACTGGGATATAATCTTCAGGATAAAACAATTCTTTGAATTCAGCAAGTACTTTATGTGCACCAGGATGGTGACAGAAATTGTTGTCGTGTGGGAAGAGAAAGACACTTTCCATATGTTAAAGACGATCCCAATTTCCTGAGGTAGTAGAATGTGGAAAAGTTTCCAGAGGCATTTCATGGAAGGTGATTAGGAAAGACAAATCTCCCCAAGATCTTCAGGTACTACAAACTTAGAAGAGAACGGACCTTCTCAAAAATTAGAGAAAAGGTCAACAGAGGACATGGACCTGGCCCAAACTTCTAAATAATTCCATATCTTTCCATCTCCAAGTAACATACTGAGTAAACGGATGTTACAGTATGGAATTCGTCTTTGTGTGTTTCTAAAATGGTATCATAAACAATGTAACTTGCAGCTGACATGCACTTGATACTTGGCTTGAAAATTCAAATCACTCCCTTACCTGAAGGATTAGAGCAAAGATGACAATGAGAGGAAGAAAATCTCTATAATGAAGGTGAAAAACAACATTGGTAGAGATGGTGCTGAAAATATTTTTCATGAAGCCTCTTTTGCTAAATACCTGTCCCTTCCTATCCTTTCTTCAAGTGTTGTCCAGCCCCAGCCCTCTGCAGTCTTCCTCTTTTCTGTCTAGCAAGATTCAACATGATTAATTAAATGTTAATTTCATTATATCTTGGGCAGTTAGCTGTAGAAGCATAGGTGATGGATATTGCATTCCACGACAACTTTGAGGTTCTCAGTCCAGACTGCTCTCCTGTGCCCTCTCCACCAGATCACAGGACCCAGGAGATCCAATTATGCCCAGTGACAAGGTCAAGGAAGGTCAATTATCTCACTCTTTATTTTAAAACTTTCCAAGCTAAAACAAAGTTAAGACAGCCAGATGATGTTCCCAGAACATTATAACTTCTGCGTAGAAATAAAGTAGGAGCAGGGATTCCTCCCAAGACCCCTGTAAGTCTAGTGTAAGTGACCCCAGGAGAGTCTGGAAGCATTCTTCTCACCTTGGCTTCAGAAGCACAGCCCAGGAGCACAGAACAAGCCCGGCTCTCGGCTGCTTCCACCTTCTCTGGGTTCCTTTTCTGGCAGCTCATCTCCACCTCCCCAGCACCAGCACCTTGTGCGCTGCTGTTTCCTCCACTGCAGCCCCCCTGACTCGGGCTCACCTGGTTTGGAAAGCTAAAGTGAGCGCCATTGCTACCGCAGCCTGTGCTCCTCTGCTGCTCTGTCCCCAGACCACTGACACCATGTTTGTGCCCGATTCTTTCGAGGACCTCATAAAAGGCGTAAATACCTCCCTGGAGAAGGAATGGACAGGGAGTCACAGGCAGACAGACCCGGAGCTGTGCATCCACAGCAGGACGACACGGAAGATTTCAAGGTTCCCTCCGCACTCCTTAAGGGCCAGACGTGTGTGTGTGTGTGCGTGTGCGTGTGTGTCAGCGTCTCTGTGGGTCTGTGGGTCACATGTCCTTCACACCGTGTGGTCTGGGGCGTCGTCCACTCTGGGCTCTGCTGCTGATTCACCAAGTGATTTTAACTCGATCTTTATTTTTTTGTTTATTTTGGATTCTTTCCCCTGACAGCTTTATAAATTAGGAACACATTTTTCTCTCTCCATACATGATGGATGACAATCAGGTGGGTATATTTTAGAGCCAGAATAGTAGCAAAATAATCTGATAAATAGTATTGCATCTTCAGAGATAAGAGAGAATATTTCATTTGTAAACACTTATAAACTATGGAGAATAAAATCCTAACAATATATAAATTTTAATGGTTCTAACTCCAGCATGGAAACTAAAAACACACATGTGAAACCACATTTAGGCAACAGTATGTAAAATTATAGTTCTAAGAAAAACCATAAAGGAAGAAGACTTTTGCAAACAACAGAATGCATTTTATTTCTCTAAAGAAAACCATGTGTGGTGACCTGGAGGAGGTTAGTGAGCTATTGGGTGCTTAAATTTTTAGACAATGAAAGGAGCTAGAAATGGAAAAGCATTCTGGAAAGGCAGGAGACCATGAGTTAAAGGTCTTCAGGAGATATCTGACGAAAAGCCACAACAATCAACAAGGTAAAGAAATGACTGCCTATGGTTCCTAATTTACATTAAAATAGAAATCCAAAGCTATAAAGCAAAAAATCTTGTTTGTAAATATGGATAGCCTAATAGGGTTGATAATAAAAACTAAGTCATACACTAAAAGAAATGGCTAAAACATGGACTACTATAGGCAAACATTTTTTACATCAACTTCCTCCAAAGATTAACATATTTTCAGGTATAATAGGTCATACCTTCAAATTAATAAAGAAATAACTATTTTACTCTAAGGATTACAATATCAAGATTCACTTCCCAGATGGTGTAAGGCCCTTGCCAAAGATCACATTTTAAAGAGTATTTCTTATGTTTTCATGCCTGGCACCCCAAAGAGAATAACTTAAGTACACATTCTGTGAAAAGTTATTAATATGGAAGAAAAATATATATTTAGCATATTTTGAGGAAGAAAAAGTATCACCAAGGTAATACATCCACATTTATCTACCTATGTAGCTATGCATCTGTCTGTATGGAATTTTATGTCTATTTCATCAATCAAGTTCTATGCTTAGGCTACTCACAATTCTAAGCACAGTGTATCAAAGGCACAGTTGTGATTTGGAGAAAGTATAACATGGTAGGTGCATCGTCCAGAGCATATTTCAATACATTCATTTTAGTTTAATGGTTACTTTCATTTAGTGTCACATTGTGGTACTATCCTCTTGACAGCAAAGTCTAAGAAAATGGTTTTATCTTAAAAATGTATCCCATGATATTGTTTCCCCATTTGAAAAAAGAAATCTTTGGTGAAAGAAATATCATTGCAAGTTTACTAAAATCGTCAACGTCAACTTTAGCAGGACAGAAAATATATCAAAGAAAAAAATCAGCTACTGAATATCCTCTATCACTTTGCTCTAAAACCACATTTCTCTCTTTTGACATATTTCTGTGTCCTAAGTATGTAAGCATCTCAGATATCTGGATGACAGCAAACTACCTGAGATTGTATCTATGGTCCTGTTCTACACCGGCTGCCTGGAGGTGGCCCTCCAGTCACCCTTGGCCTGAAAGTACTTGAGAAACGTCAACTGCTGTGTAATATGGTATTTCCCCTTCACTGTAATAGAACTTCAGGGACCTTGGGTGCTGTAGAGGATGCTTTCCGAAAATAAGAAAAAACTGGAGATGGGATATTGGATATATTACTGCCCAAGAACCTTTATTTCTACCCATCATAAAGAGGTTTAATGGTAGCAGCAGATTGTTTAAAAGGTATGGGGATTTCTTGTTCTTCTTTTCAAGGACAAATAGCTGAGAGGGTGACATATTTATATACACATAATTATATGTGGTCTATAAATATAGATGAAACATTTTATGGGGTTAGGAGTGTGCAACTGTATATCATAAACTTCCAGCTACAGTCAAAATATTTTAAATATTGCATGAAACACAATGCAAAAATGAACTCACAGGTTTTAGTGGATATGAAAAATATGGAAAACTTACGTCTAGCTTTACATCCACCGAAAGAAACATCAAAATGAGTCAGAGCCAGGTCAGAGGTAACAAGAGTGCTTATGTGTGAAGAGCTCTGTGGGGAGCAGGCTCAGTTCACTACGGACTGACAGTGACCCTAGGAGTGGTGCAACATTTAAGGTGAAAATGCTGAATCTACTTCTTAATAAGCCACAACCACAGCAGGATGTCTGGTAAAGAGTGCTTATTTCTGCTTGAAAAACTCCATAATGTCACGTGACACAGTAAATTAATTCCTTTGTTTTGCAGATAAACCATTTCACAACTGCCGATTTTCCTAATTCACAAAACCATGGAAATCATGCAGCTGAACAATAATGTCACCGAGTTCATTCTGCTTGGGCTGACACAAGACTCTGTTAGGAAGAAAATAGTGTTTGTGACTTTCTCACTTTTGTATTTTGGAACATTGCTGGGTAACCTGCTAATCATTGCTACCATCAAGACCAGTCAGATGCTCAGGAGCCCAATGTACTTCTTCCTCTTCTATTTATCCTTGTCTGACACCTGCCTCTCTACTTGCACGGCCCCTAGAGCTATTGTGGGCTCCCTTTTGAAGAAGACCGTGATTTCCTTCAGTGAGTGCCTAATCCAAGTCTTCTCCTTGCATTTGTTTGGCTGCCTGGAGATCTTCATCCTGATCCTCATGGCCGTGGACCACTACGTGGCCATCTGTAAGCCTCTGCACTACATGACCATCATGAGCCGTAGGGTCTGTGCAGTGTTGATGGCTGTGGCCTGGGTGGGGTCCTGTGTGCATTCCTTAGCTCAGATTTTCCTGGCCTTGAGCCTGCCTTACTGTGGTCCCAACGTGACCGATCACTATTTCTGTGACCTGGAGCCCCTGTTGGAACTCGCCTGTGCAGACACCTACGTGGTCAACCTGCTGCTGGTGTCCAATAGTGGGGCCATTTGTTCAGTGAGCTTTGTCTTGCTGATGTTCAACTATGTTGTCATCCTGCATTCTCTCAGAAACCACAGTGCTGAAGGGAGGAGAAAAGCCCTCTCCACCTGCATCTCCCATATCACCGTGGTCGTCTTGTTCTTTGGACCCTGCATATTTATCTACACACGCCCTGCCACCACCCTCCCCATGGATAAGATGATAGCTGTGTTTTACACGGTTGGGACACCTCTGCTCAACCCTCTGATTTACACACTGAGGAATGCAGAAGTGAAAAATGCCATGAGGAAATTGTGGAGCAAGAAAGTCATCTCGGATGACTTAAAATGAATGCAGACTTGCAAATTATCTTCATAGTTTTTAGATAGATCTAAAAGAAGTCAGTAAAGAATGCTATCTTCTTGTAGTGGAGAAAGTCTAGTGCTAACTTGGGGAATGACTGTTAGCTCCTTCAAGAGAATTGGCAGTGTAAACACATGTGCCAGTTAGTGTTGAGTTACTTTGATGCAGAGACAGACAGAGCAGGAGGTAATTATGTACATACATACTTTGCTGTTGTGCCCTCCTGTGTGCCTCTGGCTCTGTGCTTCCCTAGCATCACCTATTGTTTTGATCTGGGTTTTTCCCTAACCTTCTTCATGTTGATATCGGGTGTTGATCTGGAACCTTGTTCATGTTGATTTGTATCGACAACATCTGTTCTAAGCGTAGCATTTTTACTCTCTTTCAAATGGTTTCCTACACTAAATATTTGTCTCATTTTGTTTCATCATGGACTTTCAATTTAGTTATTCTTGTTAACTCAGAAGAAAGCACTAGATTCATGTATTTGTATAGACCTTGTGTATTTCTTTTTTTCCTACAGCCCTTTCTTATTTTGAACAGCAAATCAGGGGAAAGTCCCAGGATGGCTTAGGTAATTTTCCTCTCAATTGGTGGGATTATTCTCCAAATTTGCACTAAGTCTCTACACAGATCCTTCTAGAAGAATGAGAAAATATCATCCCTGGAAAGCAGTCCTTTGATATTAGGAAGACTATCACTTGGTGTTGTGCTTGTTGTATTATCTTATTTGTTTATCATTTGCTCCTTACTTGATACATTTGAAGTTTGGCAGAGATTAAGGTTTCTCTTGAATCATAATGATTATAGTCATTTGTTTCTAATATGTAGTTATTATGATTATAGTACAAATGCTGCAAATTGAGATAAAGATCTATATGTAGTCTAGGACTAAAGACTGCCAACATTTTTGATAGGATCTTTGAGTATATTAATACATAAACGAAGACTGTTTTAATATATTAGGATATTTGACAGAAATAGTTACATCACAAATATAAATTATTCTAAGGAATTTTCAGCACAAGTGGAGGATCCTATCTTGAGCAAAGAAGAAGGTATTGGGATGAGCAGCATATTTCTAAGGTGGTGATGGGTGTGGCATTTTGTTCCTATCCATCAGCACCACCGTGTATAGTTCATGGTCACAAAGACTCTAGTTTTGATTTGTCTCCTCACTTATATTTTATTTAAATAGAAAAGTAAATGTGGATCACTTTGTTTATTTGGGACTTCCACTTCTATTTATAATTTCCTGAGTTATATTAAGATTACTAAATCTGTTTCTGTCAGAACTTCAGAATTGTCTTTATCTTGAAGAGATTATCATCCATTTCTCTATAGAAATGGGAAACTCTGCATTCCACGATAAACCAGAGCCGTGTGCATATATCACCTTTTTTGAAATCCACACCAAGTAGTTCTTCATTAAACACAGCAGTTAAACTTTAATTCTTCTGGAGTAAGATTTGCAGAGTAGATTCCACATGACAGAGACTTAGCCAGTGTCTTCCTTCATGTCAAGGTATGGAAATCCTGAAAAGGGCTGTGGAGAAGACCCCATGCGGTGCCACAGATGCAATCTGTGATACGTCTTCTGGCCCAGACTCAGTGCCAAGCCCAGGCTACTGTCACCACCTCTTCTTCTGACAGAGACTATGCCCTAAGCCGTGCCCAGGATTTTGTAACAGAAACACAAAGGGCACTGGATGTGTAATCCCACCAGGTTCTGTGGTTGTAGTCTGTGTTCTGATAGAGAAAGAGTGGAATGTGAGACCTAAAATGAGCAATATTTGTGGGGGAAAGACAAGGCACGTGATCCCATAAGCCACTGTGCCTCCTCTAGGTTGTCACAGCAGCTCCTTCTCCCTTGAAAGGTGAGCACAGTCTTCCCCTGCCTAGATAATGAGGCCATGTTATTGGGAGATCCTGTCATGCTACGAAATGTGCCGGCCCCAGGAGCAACCTCCAGTGCCATGTAGTGATTCTAAATGGCCCTCTGGGAGGGTCCAACTGGGAGAGAACAATCTTGCTCTAGAAAAAAATGGATATAAGTGGGAAAGTTCCAGCTTTAGTCTGCATACACTTGAGCCAAGGAAACCTTTCACCGAGGGAATCGATGTTGAACTTATTAACACGGAGTAGTGTAAGTCCAGAGAATCCAGAAATTACTCAGCATGAGAAACTCTTCCATGACTTGAGGTGTGATGTTTTTCTGAGTCAAATTATGGCCACCAAGAAAGTGGTATGTTGGAATACAAATTCCTAAGGATTCGGAACGTGATCATACTGAGAGATAGTGCCCTACAAATTAAGCACATTGAAGTCATAACAGGGCTCTAAACTAATGTGACTTGTATTCCTTAGAAAAATAAAAGGGGGAGGGATATCTAGCCATAAAGAGGAGAGTGTGAAGATGAAAGCATAAATTGGTGTAATTCACCTACAAACCAAGGGACCACCACCAACACTGCTGGTAAAGCCACAAGAGTCAGGAGAGCAACACGGAACAACTACCCATGAAATATACTAACCTGTAGAGAACATCCACCCATCCACCCCGATTCAAAGGTTGTCTCAAAAGTAAGCAGCATAAAGAACTTTCACTATTGGACAAAGCTACGAATAATAAAATTGTTTTCAACTGTATATAGAGTAAGAGTTTTTCTGGGTTGCCCACATATATTGTCTCAAAAATAGTGAAAAATGCCTAGATATCTATGAAGTGGACACCGAATGGGAAGCACCCAACCCTTCCCAGGACTTTTCCCTGTTTAATGTTTAGAATAAATAAGGGACATAGGTGGAAGAAGAATTTCTTTTTCCATTAATTACAATTAGCTAAGATTTGTCTTCAGTGTGCGTTTGCATATCAAAGTCCAAAGAAACAGTTTTATTTCATGTTATACGAAAACCTTTAAATAAAAGCCATGGTTCGTGTGACTGAAGGTCAGTCCGTTGCCATTGAGTGTCACGTTTTTGTTTCCAAGGTTAGCTTCTCACGGGAACGCCAGGTTTTCATATCCACGCACTCCCTTGACAGCTTCCTTATATACTAGAGAGAGGTCATCACGTTGAGCGCTTGCGTTGGAACTCTGGCTTCCCAACCAGAATCACGGCATCACAAATTTGATAATATCACCCTAACATGGTAGAAAAAAATATCTTCCAAAATATATACAGAATCTTCTTTGAATTTTCCTACCATCCTGCTCTAATCTACTGCCTTCTCTCCCTTCAGTCACACGCAGGCACTACGAGATTTCCCTACCACCGCCGCGTTTTCTGCAGAGTCCATGCTCAGCTGCGCGATCGGAGCATCTGTTTCAAACCAGACTCACGTCGGGGTAAGCCCTGCCTAAGACCCTGCGGCAGCTAATGGGTCATGATGTCTACGAATTGCTTAAAATCTGCTGCCTTCCCTGGGCTTCTGAGTAATGCCGGGTCCCAGCATCCCTTCGTGTGCACACCTATCGGTGGTCTCACCAGAGGCCCGCAGAGCTGAGAAGGGGAGATTGAGAGGCGCCGAGAGAGGGTCCGGGGAGGACAGGGCTGAGTGCCCTCCAGACATGGAGAGGTCCGGGTGAGGAATTCGCTGGCAAAACCCCAACAGGTGCCATGGCCCCGTATTCCAGAGACCCAGAGAGCAGAGAGAGCCCGCAGTCAAATAAAGAAAGGAAAGACTGATGGGATTGGCCTTGTGGCGCTCGTTTACAGCCTTTTCTGTCTCTCTGCCTCACGCCTGGGCTCCCGGCAGCACCACCTCGACTGGCCCTGCAAGCCCTCCCCTCAGAGAGAGCCGCCGCACCGTCTTCTTCTAAGTCAGTCGTCGTCGCAAGGACCTCGCAGCGGCTTCCTCGGCAATGGTCAGATTTTCACGCCTCCCCGAGCGAGGGGTTTCACTCCAACCGAGGGAAGTATCTGGGCCTGGGGCGCACTCCTCATAGCCCTCCTGGCGGCGCCCGGGTCTGCCGTCCCGCAGCGGTGGGGCAGTTCCAAGGTCTGGAGACCGCGCTCCTCTCCTCTGGACCCACGGAGCAGTGGCCTCGGTTAATCCAGTGCGCGAGTCTCCACCGCCGCCCCGGCCAGCTCCCGGCACACTGTCTGCCGAGGAATTTCCCTCTTCCTGATGACTCCTGCGGGTCTGGGCCTGAGGTTTTCCCCGGGCTGCGCTCCCGACGAGGTCGGCCCCAGGAAGCTGAGGAGGCCGCGCACGGCCGGGGCTGAATTCGGGCGGAAGGAGCGCGCAGGATGAGAGTGGGGAGGCGAAGCCTGAGACCGTCCGCTGGCGCAAGGGGCTCGGCGGTTGACCGCAAGGGGTGCGAGTTCTGCCGTCGAATTCTCACCACAGAAACAGCGCCTCCCGTGCCCTTCCAAGGACTTTTGACGACACCAGCAGAAGCCGCGAAAGACGTTGCAGAAAGTCTGCCGTGAGTGCAGGGCCGTGTCCAGCTGGGAAACCACCAGAATCGAACTCTGACGTGCCCATGGTTCGCATTCCCCTGGAATCTGACAGATCGCTTAACTCTCGCCTTTCACAGAATGTCGTGAACTAAATAAATAAAGCCACGTCCCGGTGTGAGCAGTAGCGCAGGCGGCCAGCTGGGTCCCGGAGAGCAGGCTTGGCGCTGTCTCTTCTGTCCGCTGTGGAGGCAGGACTCTCTTCCTTCGGTACTGCGCCTTGGGCCAATGTTTTCCCTTTTTCCTTTCTTTCTCCCATACAAAGTGGGACTGAAGATATTCGCTAAATATGCGTTCTTTTTACTTCTTTGCTTGAAGAATAAAAATAAAGTTAAATCAGAAAAATTCATCTGTGCACTTCCTACTTCGTGTCGAGGAGCGATATAGGTGGAAAGAAACAGTTCTAAGTGAGGGAACACAGGCATATGAAGACAGTGTGGATTCTAATCGCTCACCCGGGAATCAGGTTTTCATGCTGAAAATCACATCCCTCTAATTTACTACTTGTGTGACCAGGCTCAAAATAC